AATCTAAATGTGTTGGCAAGATCTTCTGAAGGCATAAATTTTGCTACTGAAGCGTCGCCAAAGATCTTGCAATATTCATCCACTCTCTGCACAGTGGACTGAGACTCACACTGTAAAGCAGGGTGGAATTCAAGATGAAGATAATCCATATATCCATGAATAACTACTACACTAATTCATTTTGTTTATAAGATTTTAATACTAGATTTCCTTTTCATGATGAGCTGATGTTTTTGAACTGCTTGCTAAAATCATGGTGACAAAGAGGAGACTTTTTGTAATTTACCTTCCACAGTAACTCTTATTTGCCCTAGTATTTACTCAAGCTAGTACTGTAGATACAATGCAGTTGTTGTTGTTAATTGCCCTGGACTGCTGCTCGGAAGTGCCCCCGGAAAGAGGGCAGCTCCGGGAGAGGAGGATCCTATGATGTTGGAGAAGGATGGGAGCAATGAGAAGAATGCTGCAGTTGGTCCAGGGTTAGACTAGAAGTCCAGTGGGGTTAGCAAGGTGGGGTGCAATGGGCAGCTGAAGAGGTGATGGGTGGTATGATCCATTGCGCTGTAGGTACTCAGGGCAGAGAGGGTTTGCTGCACCAATGAAAGCAAGGTACAAGTTGAGCTGCAATAAGTAGCCAGAGTGGAGCTGGAAAAGGGCGCTACTGGCCGCCCTGGGGAGGGATAGCTCACTGAATGAGAAAGAGGGGGCAGGGATCAGCAAAACCTTGTTAGGAGATGCTGAGGCCAAATAGGAGATGGCAGTACTGTGCAGGGTGTTGAGGGCAGTGGAGTAGGAGTCAAGAGGGAGGGACCCCCTCCTTCAGCAGGTGAGAGAATGAAGGGAGGAAGTGGGTCTGAATCGTGTGCTTCATGGGACGGGGCCCCGATGTCTGGGTGATGATAGGGTAGCTGGGATGGTGTGGTCGTAGGGCACTGGCTAGGTACCGTAAACTGGGATAACTTTGACCACTTTTTTTTTGTAGCCTCAGTATTAGGCCTTTAATGCCCATTGACAAAATTTTTCTATGTCAAATAGTTTTTGAGTTTTGGGGGTTTTTGTTAGAAAACCAAAAGTGGTCAAAGTTACCCCGGGAGTCAAAGTTACCCCAGTTTACGGTACTGTGAACAGAGCAGAGAGAGGTGTTCGGTCACAGGTAAGACCTCAGCTTTGCTGTGTAAGTTGGAGGTGGAGGCCATTTGAAGAGATCCCATGGCTATGCAAAGGGCAGAGTTTTGAATAGTTTGCAGCTTAGAGATTGCAAGAAGGAGAGGCATTGGGGAACCACACTACTAGCTGCAGTAGTAGCTAGTAGCTACAATGGCTCAAGTTACCAGACTGGATTGGTCTTAGAAATATGAATCATTATTTCTAGAAATCCTTCCAACTGTTGAGTGAGGCTAATTATATCAATATAATATGCCTTATATATAATATGCATAATTTAACTTCTGTTGGTTTCAATAAAATTATAGGATTACCAACATTCCTACACAATAATTAATTTTGTTGATTGTCATTGCAGCCTGTTTTCAGTAATTTTTTGAAGATAGAGAAAAACTTATTGGAAATGTACAGAAAATTATTGCTCCAAAGACATCAGTTAGGATTGTAAAAGACAGCCGCCACTATTACACTTCTTCTTGGATTATGATTCACATGATTATAATGATTTTTGGTGATTTGTTTACATTGCGGTAATTTTATTTATAGATTGATCAGAGATTGCTTTAATATAATTTAGTCAGGTTGCATCCATAGTGGTCAGTAGAGGCATGTTGTAAGTTCTTGTATGAAAAGTTTACGGTAAAAATATTGTACAAAGAGGGTTGCCATTAAACACTGGTGCATTTCATATTAAAATTGGAAGTTCAAGTTCACATCCTATGTTGACAAACATCTCTAGTACATGAAAAAGAACGTCTGAACACAATCAAAATCAGGTCAGTCTGGCCGTAGGTTGTTTTATCACAACCGTACTTTTCAGTAGTGGCATTTGTCTTCATAGTTGATGAGGTTACTCAGAGCTCATTGCCGTACTTCTGATTTTGGTAATTGTGGACTGTACCGCTACTAACAATGACTGTGACCATACTATGCTGATGGCTGTACAATAATATAATTATTGTGCAGTGCTCAGAACTTGAATCTTCATTATTGCCAGTATTATAATCATTGGAGTGATTGGACATATCGTGGTCTCTCGTGTTGCCTCAAAGCTGAGTTGCAGCTGGAGTGTTGATACTGACCGACATAAATATTTAAAAGCCGTGGCTGTTCCTTGTAGATTTTTAAATGTGCTCTTATGGGAATCGTAGCTGCATTGACGAGTCTAGGTTCTTGCAACCGTTAATGTTTATTTTACTGGACAATTCGGCCATCAAAGGCAGATAGAGACAATGTCCCAGATGATCCACATACTGCAGACCTGTTCTGTGGCATATCCAGTTTATCTAATGGAGTTTTCTGTAGAGCTCTGGGTGATCATTCAAAAAAAATTACTCTCATAGTACCCATGTAATTTATACTTTTTTATCAAAATAAAATGTAACATGTTCAAAAATATAAAATAATTTTCTTTCTCTGTGTTTAATAATGACCATGCCAATGGAAAAATTATTATTCTACTTAATACAATTATTCTTTATATGAGAATAACCTAAAATTGGTGAATTCTTGGATTCATTTTCTGTCAATTTGCATCAGATGCAAGCTCATTTATTTTATTGCAGCAGCATTCCTTGACTAAACATTTGAAGTACGTTAACAATTTATCAAGGCACCAAATTTAGTTTGCTTGCTGCGATCAGTAAAAGCCTATGACAAAATGTGGTTTGGTAATTTTTGTAAAATTTGTGTGATGCACTGGCAAAATTCATGGACCAATTTGGTTCCAGTCAATCATTCCATTGGCCAGCATAAATTAACTTCTATTGGTTTCCTGAAAATTGTAGGATTACCAACTTACCTACACAATAATTTATTTTGTTGGGTATCAATGCAGCCTGTTTTCAGTAATTATTTGATGATAGAGAAAAACTTTATCTCTTTTCTTGCCATAAACATTTATTTGCTATCTTTGCATCCACAAAAAAAAAATAATAATACTTTCCAGGAACCATCTAGCAAGCAAGCAAAATTTATTTGTCTGCCAATTGCACAGAAACTAGTCAACCCTGCGTGTGTAACTATGAAAGGCAAAATAGGTATATTGCTGATAGTTATCAATTCAGAATAAGATATCACCTAGCCACCACAGAGTAACTCCTAATTCTTTATTATTCAATATTTGCATGAGAGAAGAGTCAAGATTCTCTGAATTAGATAATTTTAATGACTGTCCATTTACTCCATTAAAATGCAAAAATTATAGTCCATATACATGAAAGTGTATTTTTTTTATTCAAAACCAAATATAAATGCCATGACAACAACTAAACTAAACATTTCACTGCCTCTTGTATTGCAGAATCTGCTGCAAAATTATTGCTATTCAATCCAAACACTGAAAAAAAATCAGATTCTGAATTTTCTTAAACTAATTTCCCTCATCAGATTAAAACTCCTACAAAGAAATATTTTATATTATGGTATTGCCTTTCTCTTCATTATGAATGCTGTTGCAACTAAAGTGCTTGAGATGTACTTAATCATTTTGGCATTGAAAGAACAAAATCAAAGTGGCAAAAAAATGGTTTGACAATTCTGAGTTGTTGTGAGTTATGGAAAAACAAATAAGTCAAGTTTAAATATTTTATGTAGGTATATAATCTTACTTCTGATGGTGATGAACTAAATAAGTACCTACCAGAGAGCTACCGGTATTAATAACTTTCTATTTGTATGCAGGTCATTAAACTTTTAAAAAGTCATTAGCTATTTTTGTGTATGTTTGAAATTATTCTACTCAAAAAGTTTTTACAATACTAATACAAATTTTATGACTATTATTTTTTTAAAGACAACCACAAGTTCTATGAATGACTTTTAAAATCAGCAGCAATCCAGATTGTCCTGAATAGATTATGCACCACAAGATCTATGACTTTTTTAACACCCCATGTGATAATCTCTAGCCTCTCTAATTTTCCATATTGTTAGCAAAAAATATAGCTAAGTTACTTTAGAAAAAAAATCAGCACTTGTGTGAAATTTTGTCAAAACTGGCAATGGTCTGATTTTCAAAATTTTTGCACTTGACTTGAAATTACCAACAAGCTTTTAAGAATGAGACTTACAAACCTATGCCACTTTGAAAAAAGCACAGTAGCATAGGATAGCCAATAGCATTTGGCAAATATTCTACAATATATGCCAAACTTACCTAGTACCTATTAAAAGGCAATTTGCCTTTTAATAGGTACTGTACCTACTTAAAAATATTCTTGGCAACAGATATCAAAGGCACAAGAAATACTGGGATTATTTAACTTAAAAAAGCCCAGTTATTCTAGATGAGTTGTATCCTAATTATATTATCTTACTAAGGACTAGTGTGAGAATTGGGGACTAGTCTGAGAGTGAGTCTACCTATAGGACTAGTCTGAGAGTGAGTCTACCTATAGGACTAGTTTGAGACAGTCTACCTATAGTGATTCTTGCAAAAAGTGAAGAACACATTTTGTCTTGTCTGCACTTTATTGTTTACCAGGAACCTTCAAATTTGGAAAGCCTTAGCAGGATATTCACAATAGGATTTTAAAGGTCCATTATATATTGTATGCAAATTAAAATTTGTCTCTGTCTGCCACAACTGCAGAACACTCATAACTTGTATGAATAAAATTTGATACTATTTGCCAAGCATCTGGATCCTCAAATATATTTTCCTAAATTTCTATGTTCATCATAACCTTCAGTGTTGAGGAAAGACAAAAAAAAAAAAAGAAAAAAAATATGGTACCACAGTAAGGTTGGCTGGTTAAATTATGATAACACCACCTAATAAATCTTATTGTTTTGGTAATCACTTAATGGATCTTGATGGTTTAGCTGCATTTGTTAGCTATCAGCTTTATTGTGTGTTGAAAATAAGTTAGTTTTTTCTTCCAGATAACTGTGAGCTGACTGAACTGAAATCCTTCTTGGATGCCAACTACAGCCCCGTATTCTACGTCTTCTATGATGCCTTTATTTTCTTTGAGACACAACTCCAGCAGAAAGGTATATATACGTACATATATATAATGTCTTGACTCTTCAAGTGATTGCTGTTCTGTGTGTAACCATTCACTACGTTATTATAAACTAGTAGCAAAATGGCTTGAAATAACAATGCAGTTGTACTGTATTATCCTTATGCACCCTGCATTAGTTGTTAGTGGATAGGTGGTTCTGTACTTGATGTCTTAATGGTTGATTTGGAGAACACTAAAATTATATGGTAGTATATTTAACTGGGGTAACACGCTCTTAGCTTTGTCTACATATTTGACATGAAGTCACCAAATAGAATTTTATGATCATTTCAGCCTTACCTGTTAGATCAGAATTTATGACTTTTGAAAAGAATGTTAAATAACTTATAAAATAAATGCTACTGCTAAATCTTTGATTTATGACTGGTGATTTGATAATCTATATTAATTATATTTAATATATGTTTTTGGTTCATTTAGAAGATGGTATGTAGTATATATATCTAAAACTTCTACTTTACCTTGAAAAGTATTTTCTTTTCTCATAATGGATGGATTTCCAGGCTTCAGTGTCCAGCAGCGGCCTCACAGAGAGGACCTGGAGCAGTCATTGTTTGTGTTGGAGCGACTGCTGTGCTTGCTGCCGCAGCTCTTCACGCGACGCTGGCAATGCAATGCCCTCACCCATGTCTTTAAGAAGCTCCTGCATCGGGGCAATAACATAAGGCTCCGCAGGGAAGGATGCCGGTGAGTTAAGTTCCATTCTCCTAAATTAGTTTCTGTTTCTTTGTGGAAAATATTTTTTATTTCAATATTTAGCAATCTTTGAGAACTTCAAGTTTGTCCTAATTGTTCAACGTTAAACCCAAAATCCGGCTATAAAAAATTACAAATTCTAGTATTGAGTCCATTATTAGCCTGTTCTCATGAAATACAAACTTTGTGGCCTCTATTGTAAGTGTCCTCACTTTAAAATTTCTTTACCCCTCATCTTGCAGGTTATTCATCTTATGGTACATGATAGTTGGCGAGAGCAAGACCCCAGACATGGACGCCATGTTTGCTTCCCTTGTTCCTGGCTTCCCCACTCCTCCCCCTCGCGCAGTCCTCCCCACTACAAGCAGCGATGGCACAAAAGTTTCCCCCATTGAAGCCATGGCCATCATCCCCTCCTCATCCACAGATAAAACCCCTGACGACATCACAGCTTATTTCCTTTCTTCTCTCCTGGACTTCATGGTCACTCAGGTATGTGATGCTGGTTTAACGACATGCTGGTAACTTCAATCACAATGATAGGCCTACTTGTAATTCTTACCCTTTATGGAAACCATGGTATCTGCAAGCTAAGGCTTTGTATTTTTCCGTGTTAAGGATTTAAGTTCAAACTGCTACACTTTGCTATAGCAGTCTCAATTACCTCTGTGTTTAGTGTGTATGCGTATTGTCGTCACTAAAATGTTGCTTCAATAAAAAAAATTTTGCTTACACTACAATGTTCTCTCCACTGGAAGGCTGTCAACAATGTAATGTTTCGTCATTAAAACATAGCCGTAATGTTGCCATAGTGAGCGAGTTGCCACTGAGCAGCTGTTGTACTGCAGGTTCGGAAGGTAGAGTGGCGAGGCGGCACCAAGACAGAGCATTGCCACGTGGCTTTCTCGTACCTCTTCTCTATGTTCCGGGCCGTCTACCTGCCCTACATTTTCCCCAACTTCAGCTCCAGCAACTCGCTCTACAGACCCAACCTAGGTAACGTTTTGCTTGGCAAACGAATCTCTTTTGAGAAATGTTTGGTCTTAAACTCTTAATAGATTTCAAATTTAGTTCTTGCGTTGGATGTAGGTATATAAGTATACCAACAGTGTCTAATCGATATACCAACAGTGTCTAATCGACTGTAATTATTTAAAAATTTCTTAACAGAATTCATTGATAGTTGTCTGTAGAAAAAATTCTTTAGAGACATCTCTATACATTGAATAAGAAGAAATTCTAGGATAAACTAAAGTAAAACTTGTTAACATTATTCAGTTTATGAGCATCGGCTGTTAATTGAATTAGTTCTAGATGGATATTGGAGTCATGTTGCTCACAATTGAATTCTTATAAGTGAATGTTTTGCAGAGTTACCAGAGCTACGCAGCAGTCCTGGCAAGAGCCTGTACGGCACCTGCCAGGTGGTGCTCATACGCTGGGTGCGTCAGTACGTGTCATCTGTGCCTCCTGCCACACAGCCTCCTCTGTCACGCCAACATACTGGGTCTGACCTAACTTCATTCTTGTGACAGGATGTTTACAAATACAGATGTTATTGTCATTGTTGAGAAAACAAACTCTTATACATACAATTGTCTTCCTAGCTTAGTATAGTGAAGTATTATTGAGATAGAATTAAATGTGCTCTTTTTATCGAAAAATTTCATTTATGATTAACATTTGCTTAAATATTCATGTTAATTAGTAGTGTTCATTTTCTTAACATGTAGAAGGTTCATGTTTACTTGTGTAAGTGTTTTTTTTTACTGTGACAGGGATGAACGTCGAGGTGAGAACACTTCCCAAGAAGGCACGGGCAGCACCAGCGATCAGGACTCGGTGTCTTCTGCTCACTACGCTAAGTACGACCAAACCTTCTGTCTTTGTATGTTATATTTCCGCATTTTAAACTCCATATATCATAGCCTAAGTTGTGATAGAAGTACATGATAGTGGCTTAGCCCCTTCTACTCATGTTCAATGTGGGTTAAGCACTATTTTAGTCTCTAATAAATGTAAAAAATGTTCGGCATTATGATTGCATACGGTGCCTGAAGTATTGTATTGTCTTTTTTTTTTATTCCTGCAGCACGGATTGATCAAGAGCTGAACTATAGCATGTAGCAATGCCTCGTTAATTGTGTTATCTTATAAGCAGGATGAGCTTGTTTTAGTAATAAGAATTAATGGTTTCAGTGACGCGAGTGCGGGCGAGGAGGCGCGACTGGTGCGAGAAGTGCTCTTCTCCACGCGCTCCAACGTCAACTTCATACACGAGCTATTCCGTCAGGCGCTCTGCTTGAGCTTCCGGTACTCTGAAGCTATCAAGACGGTCATCTTGTGCTACAGAGATTGGATACAAATGGTCAGTTTTGAGGCAAACAAACTCTTATACATTCAATTGTCTTCCTAGCTTAGTGTAGTGAAGTATTCATGAGGTAGAATTAAATGTGCGCTTTTTATCGAAAAATTTAATTTTTTGATTGTTTTTTTTGTATACATTGTACTAAAGTTGATTATTTGCAATTATAATTTTTTATAATGTATGTAGTTTACCAGGTATATTTTATTCTTATTCCTTATAACATTACATCATTTTTATTTGGTACTTACAAGTAATTGTAGATTGTACTGTATTTTTTGTGTTTCACAAGAGGTGCTGTTGCCTAGAAACTCTGTTGGTTCGAACCATAAATTGCCTTAAGGGCCTGAGCAGTGGCTTGGCTAGATATTTGGGACCATTGAGCCTACGCAGTGCCTTATAAATTGCAAATATATTGCAAATGCATTTTTTAGTTCTGTTAGGAGATTGGCTTCTTTAAAAACATTTAAGCTCTTGTTATCATCTCACAGACTGGCGACGTGCCGATTTTCCTGCTGGAGCCTAGCGAGTGTGACTCAGAAGAGCTGGAGTCGCCTGGCAGTCAAACAGACGGCGGGCGACGCGGCCGCAGCGACTCATACCTCGTGGCCATCAACAGGGACAACAACGTCCGCGCAGGACTGCAGGTCTACACGCTGCTTCATCTCATCCTAATTGCTTAAGCAACTATTACTTAACTATACATCGTGCACTGGTTCCTCTTAACGTACAAATCCAGAGTTATCTGTCTTCTTATAGTATAAACTCTTGATATTAACGTATTCTAATTACAAGTGGGAAATAAACCTCTTCGGTTGTGGCGCGGGAATTAAGTTTTGTTCATGCATCGCCGAAGAAATTCTATTACTTTTTAATAATTTTGTTCGATTCATCCCACTGTCTTGTATCCATTGTTTACATTCGAATGTTCTTCCCGGCACTGTCCAACTAGTAATTTGGTTATGTCTCTAAATTATTTATTGCTTGTTTTTTATTTATTGCTTGTTTTTTATTTATTTATTTATGCATCATTGATCCCACAAAATAATTAATTCGCCTTATAAATTTACTGACAGGTTTTATTGATGTTTCTATATTCTAATGCTAACCTCACCAAATATTCTGGATTTTCAGAACGTGCTTCAAGTGTTCGTGACGAGCGCAGCGAACGTGTTTCTGCTGCAGGTATCGCCCGACTACCCGCTGCTGCTCGACGAGCAGGTCGAGCACTGCAAGCACGTCCTCAACACCTACCGATATATGGTCATGAACACCCGCATGGAAAGGAAGACATGGTAATAAGACAACAGGCGTGCTCTTAGAGTAGTAGGTAGACATGGAAAGGAAGACATGGTAATAAGACAACAGGCTTGTCCTTAGAGTAGTAAGCGGGCATGGAAAGCAAGACATGTGAAGAGCAGATGATAGTTTAGTCAGTGTACCCTTAGTGTATGAAACAAAAAAAAAATTCTCATAGTAAGAGATTTTTTTTGTCAGAGCTGTTATAAATTATCAATTTGATATACTAAGCGTTACCCGATGTAAGAAATTGCTGCCAAAATGTGTACTGCTGATACATTTGCATCCTATAATCGTGCAAGTTCTTCCTGTATTATGAATAAGTTTTGCTACTTGTGCTCTATTGAAGTTGATTATTGAAGCAAATGTGTGTTGCAGGGAGCAGCTGCTGATCGTGCTGTTCCACATCACATCACAGACGCTCAGTGGCCGCCATGTCAAGCCAAAAGAAGACTCCCTGGGTGGCAGATTTGCTTCAGCTCTTTTCCAGGTAAACGCAGTCACACATTCGAAATATTATCAATGCATGTGTCCGTACTTGAACTGATTTATAGTATTTAATTACGTTCTTAACAAATATGCCGTTAGTTAACTTCTTCACACTTCGATATTAACTTGACCTGTTTGTTTTAATTTTTGTTTGTATTAGTAACCTGCCAATAAATGTTGAAGGAAAAGCATTTTGTTTTAACCACGCATTAAAACTCTCTTCTCGCCGTGCAGACGCTAATAGTGTCGTGGATCAAGGCCAACCTGAGTGTAGTTGTGAGTGGCGAGCTCTGGGACCAGCTCCTCTCTACCCTCTCATCCCTCTCACATCTCGACGAGCTTGTCAAAGAGTGGGCGGTGAGTAAAAACATAGTGACATCAATTGAATTATGCTAATGATTTGACTAATCGATCATTAATGTTGATCTCTGGGCAGCTATAGAGCTGGTTTGAGGGTCATGTTAAGTCTTCACTCTAATCAACTAATGGCGTATGTTCAAGGTGAAGCTTATTCACTATGCATCCACACTTATGGTTCCTTGTAATTAATGAATACGTATTTCGTACCTTTAAATTTTGCACTCAAATGTAATGCGGTGGTCTGGCCCGCCACGTGTACGGCCTTGAGGTGAACAACCTGCCTCTGGACCGCGTCAACGAGCGCCGCGCCATCAAGCGGGGCAGCAAGAGCCATAATGCGGTCAGCCATTAAGAAATTTTACATTCTCAACTTTACATTCTCGTTCAATTTCATTTCCCGATACCGGATATAATAACTTTTTGAATTAGAATTCAGTTTGTGCCATAAAGTAAAGCAGCAGGAGCGATATCACTGTAGTTTGTTTAACCAAAAAAGATGGAAGTTTCACAAAACGAAATTTAATTTAAAATCGTCATTAAAAGTGTGTAATTCTAACACAATGTAATGACTTGGTCGCATTTCCGTGCTGACGCTTGCATGTATTTGTGCAGAGCATCCGCAGTAGCCACAGCAGCGCTAACTTTAGTCGCACCTGGAACGGCGTGAAGCAGCAGCAACAGCAGGCAGGGGGCAGCGCCACGCCCTCTGTAGGAGCGTCCGCGGTCCTGCCACACCTGCCGGAGGAGACGTCGCTCACAGGTCAGCAACCCATGTACAGGGAAGTTTGTTTACACCAAATTATGAGTTTGATGTATAAAATGCGCTAGTATTCTGTGGATAAGTTGAAGAGATGTTTGCATCAAGTTTTAGAAATGTAGGTTCATTGCAATTGAATATTCCCTACTTTAATACTTATTTGTTGATGTTCAAGCTAGTGAAACTTAATATTCTAGCTTCTAGCTCTTCAACTGTGTTGAACAGGAAGCGAACAGTACCACCGCAGACGAATGAACAGTTCGAGCTCCTCACAACACCACCCGTCGAGTGGTGAGGGCGTTGGTCACCACCAGGATGTGGTGATGCCGACATGCCCTCACCGTCACTACCACAACCATCACCACCACCAGCACCACCACAACTGCCCCACTAGACTAGTCCGTGTGCTGTCAGACTCCAATCTACACATGAGAAAAGGTCAGATTTTGGACTCCTTCAAGAACTACCTAGTTTCGAATCTATGTACCCTTTCAAAAATCATTTATAATTTGCTTTAAATCGTGATGTGGTGGTTAATTGACTGATCTCCAGATAAAAGTTGACTCTATCTAGATTCGAAAAATAAAAAAATAAATATCAGCTTGAGGCAATCATTTATCTACATAAAAAATCAAGTTTATACCTGGGTGAGGAGATTTCTATTTGGATAAAAAACATCAAAGTTTAATGTCTATCCGAATGGATTTTTTGTCTACATTAAAAACATAAAAGTATTTTCTCTGGCTGATGCTATTCTTTACCATGAATAAAGCACTACAGCTTGTCTAGCTGCCTCTGTTCTATTGCATATTATAGCAGGTACCATGTACAGTAGGGCAGTTGTTTGCCCCGCGCTGCCTCTGGCTTTGTTGCCACACTCGTAGTCATCTATTTGAACCGAAGTTAATGTTTATCATGATTATCTAATGAAGTTTTTTTTTTCTGTGCAGTGTATGACAGATACGAGCACGTTATGAAATGCCGTTCTACGTCTGCTCTGCACCAATGTTAGTTACTTGACTAAATAATCGTTTATTTGCATGGGTTACATTCTTTACAGTTGATGTTGTACATTTAAACTTTACCACGACAGTTACTTTGTTACACACCCAGTTTTCATTGGGCAGTTTTAAGGTAATATGTTTAGTTAATTGTGTTAAGTAAAACTTAAATTGATTATATGTACATCAACACAAGCAGGAATTGTTGGACACTAACAATAGCTCAGCTTCTTCAATTTAGAACTTCTAAAATTACAGTTGAAAATTGTAGCTTACGTTTTAATTGTGCTGTTGAAAATGGAATAAGTTTAGATTGAATATAGAGGCGAGTGTACTATTAAGTTGTTAGGAATAGCCTACTTAAGTTAACTCTGTTGGAGAAATATGTTGTTTGCATTTCTAGATTAAAATATAACATTGCTTTATTGATAAAATAAGTAAATGTTTATTTAAACATGAATAAGCTGAGTATCACTATTTGAACGTATGCTCACTGACGAGACTGGTGCTAGCTGTTCTCATTCTAGTCCAGAGTTCACCTTGGTTTATAAAATGTGATATAATTAAGGCTTGGAAGTTTCACTCTTATTACCTGAAATGTTGTTTTCACTCAATTTCATTTACTTCTGCCAACAATTCATGTAGGCTGGGGGCTCGGATGGCCTGAAAACATTACTCGTTTAGTCTTACCAAATATCAATGGAATTAACATCAGTTTGCCGTCTAGGCGTGTAGCTGGTCATTAGTAATTTCGCTCAGGTTTCAATAAGTAATACCTTCAATAGTCTGTTAATTAAGTTCTGAATCGTGGTGAATTTAAGGTTTTATGAGATTAATTCAATTTGATGACATTTGTTTTAACCCCAAAATTATGTGTGAGAAACTTTGGTCCTTTGGTCTTTGGTTTTAATGGCTTTTTCTTGCTGATGTTTTAAGGCATGTGTAACTTGGGATTGACTGTTGTAAGACACGTGCTAAGTGCTGGCATGTTATTATGTTCCTCTTAAACGAAGTGGCTCCTCTTACTTTTCATTCATATTGACTAGATACTTTAAGTTTATTTACATTTAAATTTATCACACGCCTGGCGTGAGTAGAGACGTGAGAGGTCCTGACATATTTATTAGGTTCGTCTTGAAGTTTTCATCCATGGTGACTAGATACTTTTAGTATATTTGCATTTAACTTTGTTACATGACTTTTATCCTGGGCAGACACATGTGAGGGCGTGTCATGCGACCAGAAGTCGGTGATGGCAGGAGGGTCGGTGCGAGGGTGGCTGCCTGACGTGGCCGTGGTGCTGTGGAAGCGCGTCCTGGGGCTCCTCGGCGACCCCAACAACACGGCCGTCGTCTCTCCAGCCATCAACGCCATGGTCTTCTCGCACCTCACCGACCTCTCAAATGTTCTCATTAAGGTCAGGCCTAATTAAGGTTAACGTCCTCATTAAGGTCAGGCCTAATTAAGGTTAGCGCCTTCGTTAAGATTAAGGTCAGGCATGACGATGTCATACATTATCTCAACGGACATTCAATACGAACTTCTCACATGTGTCACTCTCTTTACTTTCTTCATTGCCAACTAGTTACTCATACTTATATTATTATTTGTGCTGGAATTTAATGTTATTTAAGTTACAGGTTAGATCATATTTGCGTTAATGAAGTGTCTAGAGCAAGCTTAAGTCATCTTTCAGAGCTGTTAATTTTATATCTTATGTCAAGGATAAATAAAACTGAAGCTTAACTAATCTATGATGTTGTGCAGCTGCGGGACAATCAAGGCATTTCCGTGGACAACCAGAGCACCCCTCCCCCTCCTGAGCTCGTGCCCCCCATCACCCTCATCGCCCCCTGGTGTCTCAAGGTTCCTCACGCCGGATATTCTTATTTCTGACACTGATATTTCATTAGAATTTTGTGTCGATAAAGTTTAATTTCAAGATCTTTGTAACTTCAAGTGATTTGGAGACTTTGTCTTCATGGTATTTAGTATGATTCAATACGAATTTAACTTAAATTACTGTTCATACCACAGTTTGGTTCACGTTTATTGATTTTTATGGAAATTTATGGAGAAGATCTCCAGGTACTGCTATGTTAATTATCTTTTTTGCCTTTACACTGCGATGTTAATTAATATTTTTGATGATTGCCATATTGATAGTAATTTTGTGTTTTGCACTAGGCCTGAACTTACAATTCGCGGCATAGTCACATTCTCTCATTATTTATCAAATATCCTGGGGGTATTCAGTGATAATTTATTCCAGGTTAATCATACATTTTTTTATCGCAGTCCAAAAGAAAAGTTATTCGTGTAAGAATTAATAATTTATACCAGGTAAATCATAAAAATTTTGTAATCGAAGTCCAAAAAGTATTTATTAGTGTAAGAGTTAAGTATGTGTTGTGGGCAGGCGCTGAACTTGCCTAACGCGTACCAGCGCGGCAAGTTACTAGCGTACCGTCTGCTGTGCTCCATGCTGGTGCGCCGTCACGACCTGCCGCCGTCACGTGACCTGCTCACGGCCTTCTACGGTGCCCTGCATCAGGGGCTTCTGGGGCAAGATCAGGTCAGCCTTGTAACTTGCATAAGCGTTGCCATTTGACAGTCATCTCCTTACAAGTATATATGTTGCCAGTTGACAGCCCTCACTACTATATATGTTGCCAGTTGACAGCCATCCCCTCACTAGTATATATGTTGCCAGTTGAGAGCCATCCCCTCACTAGTATATATGTTGCCAGTTGACAGCCATCCCCTCACTAGTATATACGTTGCCAGTTGACAGCTATCCCCTCACTAGTATATATGTTGCCAGTTGACAGCCATCCCCTCACTAGTATATACGTTGCCAGTTGACACTAGCTAAGCCTCAACAAACACAAACATTTTTTTCAACTGTATCCAGTTTATAAACGTGCATACCTTTCTCGAAGGAAATAACTTTAATTGTATTGTCGGATAATTGCAGTTGATTTTAACTATCGTTTGCTTGTCCAAAGAGCAATATTTATATTCATAATTGGTTCTTTGTTATGAAAAATGTCTATCGATTGATTGATCTTTGGCCATGCTGTATCTATTGTTTGTTTACTGTTGATGAGACTTCGAACCTCCGATTCGTTTAGGTTTTCAGTGCGGGTAAGAATTATATTTTTTAAGCTTTCTGATTGATTGAGAGCTCCTTGCTACTTTGGCAATTAATCTAAGAGTCGTGCAACACTTTTGCTCTGCGATCATCTGGCGATTTTTTTCAAATTTTCATTTTCAAAGTGTACAATTATTTTTCTTTTTCCATCCATAATTTCATCGTCTCTCCAGGTCCCTCAGGTCCCAAGTCCTTAAGTTTTTCACCCTATAATGCATTCATGAAAAAATCTATTCACATTGGAGCTTGTTTTTAAAGTTGATCCCCTTGAAGAATATTCTAAAGCAAAGTGCTGAGATCCTGAAATTCATTTGATGACACTGATTACTATTTTCTGTAGCAATCATGCATTTGACGCAAGAAAGCTGGTCTCAAGTCCTCGTTATCAGAGTTACAAAGCTAAAGCAACTACATCCTCTGTAATTTGAGAAGCTTATTCGCCGTTTTTCTGGTTTCAAAAGATCGGAAAACCGGAACCCTTTTCCGGTCAGGTTGCGATATCTTTATGTGAAGTTTGTTGTTACTGTTGCAGGAGGTGATAAGTTGCTTGGTGGGGGCGTGTGGCCCACACTTCTTCTCCTTGGGACTTCCTGGATCATCGATGCTCATGCTCGACTTTATATTCGCTGCCAACACCGTCGTGGCCGCGCCTGAGGGCAAACAGGTGCGCTCCAGCTGACACGATAATTAGCAACTGCATTTAATAATACCGTATGAAATATACTAAATAAAAAACTCAATTTAATAAAAAAAATAAGAAGTTTTGCTACATTGGTGCGACATTTTTAATTTTTATCGTATTTCACATTATTTAAGTTAGGTACGTTTCCATAACTAGCATTTAACTCTTAGATGAATAGGAAATACAGCACGTTCCAACCATAAGAGTCTAGGTTAACATTAACTTCTCATCCTATGAAATGCAAAGGCGCGGAATTTTTTCCTTATTTCGGTATTATTATGCATACCAGCGTCTAATATATCATAGTTATAACTATATATAGTTCGGCAGCGTCTAATATATTAAATATGCTTGTAGGATAACAAGTTTACAATTGTAAATGCATCAGCTGAACCTGCTTGCGTTAACGGTTGCAGGGCGGAGTTTTTCCCCGCGAGGAAGCCATCAGCCTCCTGGGGTCCCTCCTCCCCCTCGCCTCCCTGTCTCCCACCGTGCCAGTCCTGCAGCCCCAGCATGGCTCCTTCACTCTCATGAACTGCTCTGACGTCAAGGTCATTATTTCACTATATACCAACACTCACTTTTGAGCGTCACTTCAAGTCATTACTTCAATCAACCTGATCAAGCAATTTTACTCTGCTCTAACGCCAAGGTACACACTTGACGTTACATAGCAACACTTACTTTGAAAACGTTCAATAATTTTTCGTTAAATCAACCTCATTACGCTCTGTGAGCAGATTGATATTTGGTACCTTCCACATCAACTTTTTGGATATCAAGGCGCAATGAGAAAGTTTTGCATGAAAATATTCACTAATGAGCTTCTGAACCATACTTAAATCGTTGAAAAGAAGTGTCCAAACATGGAATAATTTCTGGTACTTTTTAAATTCCCTGATGCACCCAGAGATTCCACGTATAAATCTAATTCCCGCCAAAAACGTCGATTTCATAATTCCGTAGAGTAATAAATAATAATTGATTTCATAATTCCGCAGAGTAATAAATAATAATTGATTTCATAATTCCGTAGAGTAATAAATAAAAGTTTGTTTATTTAGGATCACATTCTAACGGTGCTGCTAAAAAGCGGCAAACGTGACGGCTATTGGCGGACGCGGTCTCTGGCGCTGTGTGCGTTGCTCTAACTTTACTCTGCTCTAACTTTACTCTGCTCTAACTTTACTCTGCTCTAACGTCAAGGTATAAACTTGACGTTACATAGCAACACTTACTTTGATAACGTTCAATAGTGTTACTTTAAATCAACATCATTAAGCTCTGTGAGCAGCTTGGTACCTTCCACATCAACTTTTTGGATGTCAAAGCGAAGTGAGAAAGTTTTACATGAAAATATGCACTAATGAGCTTCTGAATAATACTTAGATCATTGACAAGAATTGTCTAAACATGGAATAATTTTTGGTACTTATTAAATTTCCTGGTGCACTCAGAGATTCCACGCATAAATCTAATTCCCGTCAAAAACGTCGATTTCATAATTCAGTATAGTAATAAATAATAATTGATTTCATAATTCCGTAGAGTAATAATAAAGTTTGTTTATTTAGGATCACATTCTAACGGTGCTGCTAAAAAGCGGCAAACGTGACGGCTATTGGCGGACGCGGTCGCTGGCGCTCTGTGCGCTCGCCTCGAGTCTCTACCACCAACTGAACCAACCGCCGCCACACCCCCGCCTTACTGACGCCGTCAGTGTGCTGCTGGCCGCCCTCAAGGTAACACTTGTCGTCATGCCACGCAGAGGGTGATACGCTGTTCGTATTCAATGGTAATACGCTATTCGTATTAAATGTTAAAACGCTGTTCGTATTGAATGGTAATACGCTCTTCGTTTTAAATGGTAATAAGCTCTTCGTATTAAATGGTTATACTCTGTTCGTATTTTTTCTTCGCGGATTTTTTGACTATTTGTTACGAACGGTTGATTACGGCTTCTTAATCACAGCATTCGAGCACTTTTCCGACTCGACCCTAACATATTTTGATTGCTTTTACCTTGGTTGTGCTGCTAACTTAGTTTTTGAAATTTATGCTCTTTTTAGCGGATATTTTCCCTTGTGTATGCTTTTACGTGTTTTAATAGACGTATATTAAACATCTTGGTTGCTAGATTTTTATTAAGATTTGAATGTACGCACCTCAGCATTAGTTTAGAAATTTTTCATTGTCAAAAAATTATAGTGGCCGTTTTTTGACGTGTGGGTTGGCTAGTAATCCGTAGATTTTGCATTCCTTCCTTTGCATTCAAGTAACTCGCATTGCGTGAGTGGTCTTCGCTGAAGATCTTTTAAGGCATGCCTATTATTACGAGCACAATACAATTGCACATTTGGTCATTCAGTTTATAGCTAACCATGCTTCGTTTATTAATTTAATTTGCGGTTTTTTACTTATTTAACCGTGCACATCACTAATAGCAAATCCCTAGCAAAGCTCTTGCAGCTCACATGGGTGTTGCTTCAGCCTAATTTCGCTGTAACCTGAGGTATGAAAGCAGGAGTTTGTGGTAGAGTTAGCGTTCTGTTGTTGGTGTAGCTTGAGTATTTTTTTTTTTTCATTTTACTGACCTTGTTTTGTTTTACGCACCTGCCCCTTGTTGCTGTGACTGCCAACACACTCCTNCTTGGGATTTTTATTTTTCGATGGCCTGATGTGATTGGTTGCTTGTGATTGCGTTATCAATTGACTGTTGATGTTACAATAACGTGGTTTTAGATCAGTTACAATACTTGTATTAACTCATTATTTTGTGGCATGTTTCCCCCTGTTTTACTTTTACGTTTTTGCATTTCATCTAATATTACTGCTATTACCGTTGATTTAGCTGCTAAATTCGGTGGTCGATTGGACTCGTTCAGCTAACAAATCGTCTAAATATTTTCTGTGCGCAAATGCTTTACGACAATAGTGGAGACTATATTAAAACTTAAGTACCGCAGCCGTGCTCGCACAGTTGTCAGTACATATCTGATGATTTAGTGAAGCTGAATTATAACAAGTGAAGCTGTTATAGTGAAGCAGAATTATAACAAGTGAAGCTGTTATGGTGAAGCAGAATTAGTATAACAAGCAAATGAACAGAGCCATGGCTGCGCAGATCGGGCGGTTGGTGGGGCAGGTTGCGGCAGACCTGCTCATGCTGCTCAGTGACCACAGCGAAGCTCTGCTCGACCACTACCCCGATATGCCGCCGCGCATCATTCAGGTTTGCTGTTTTCTTTGATTAATATCCTGATATAAATTTGATGAATGAAGTGTGTATTTTGTATTTCCGGGAGAATTTTTGACTCGGCTTGGTCACCCTATTTNGCACTATAGTTGTACTGCAGGTGTTCTATAGCACTATAGTTGTACCGCAGGTGTACTGTAGCACTATAGTTGTACTGCAGGTGTTCTATAGCACTATAGTTGTACTGCAGGTGTTCTATAGCACTATAGTTGTACTGCAGGTGTACTGTAGCACTATAGTTGTACTGCAGGTGCTCTATAGCACTATAGTTGTACCGCAGGTGTACTGTAGCACTATAGTTGTACTGCAGGTGTTCTATAGCACTATAGTTGTACTGCAGGTGTTCTATAGCACTATAGTTGTACCGCGGTGCTGTGCCAGACTGCCAGTGATAAGAGGCAGTGGTAGCACCAACTGCAGCAGGAGGGCATGAAGCTCCCACAGGAGGTCATGAAGCTCCCACAGGAGGTCATGAAGCTCCAACAGGAGGTCATGAAGCTCCCACAGGAGGTCATGAAGCTCCCGCAGGAGGTCATGAAGCTCCCGCAGGAGGTCATGAAGCTCCCGCAGGAGGTCATGAAGCTCCCACAGGAGGTCATGAAGCTCCCACAGGAGGTCATGAAGCTCCCGCAGGAGGTAATGAAGCTCCCAGGTAATGAAGCTCCTCAACGGTAAAGCTTTGCTTCGCGTGTGGGAGACTGGAGTTCGAATCCTGCAGGCAGGGAGTTTCTTCAACTCAGTTTCTCACGAGGTATGTGTATGGTACTCTGAAAATTTCTTCACAGGGCATTAAGCTCCCATGCACATGTCTTCAAGGTAATTCATTCAGGTCATGTTTTCAACGAGTCTAATTTTTCTTTCGATTGAGATTCATTCATTTCAATAATCTCTATTGCCGTTTAAGAATGTATAAATAAAGAAAACGCCAACTCACGATATCTTCATCGAATTCATAATCAATTATGTAGTGGATATAGTCGTCGTTTTCTTTGATTTTACATTCCTTATTGAGTTGCGATTGAAGCAAGGGAATGATGCAAGTTAATGTGATCATGATGACATGATGTGATGTATCAGGTTGTGGATGTGGTGAGCGCGGGTGGTGCGAGCAGCACGGTGCTGAGCAAGGCACTAGCGGTGTACGTGGCAGACTTCAGCACCGCACAAGTGTGAGGTGATGGTGATGCTGTGTCTTGGCTTATTAATTAGATCATCATCATTACCATCGCGCCTGGCGTCTCTATATACCACCGTCAGGCCGTCAGCCAGAACTGTGAGCTGCACGCACTCTTCTGTCTTCGATTGATAATAGAAGATAATAATAATGAGGTTAATAGATCATTATTAACCTCATTACGGGTGATGGACCATGAGTCGCGTGCAATAATTGTTAGTAGATCATCATTATCATGCGTAATTGTGATGTCCTGTGAGTCACACGCACTCTTCGGTCAACTCATATTAATTATTAGGTCATCATTATCGTCCTTAAGAGTGACGGAATGCAAGTCGCACGCACTTCTATGTCTTCACTTCTATGAAATATATCACTCCATTAAAATTTTGGCCGTTATTTGAGCACAGTTGTCACCTCTTATATTGAGCGGTTTTTCCGTAACGAACTTTATTCTTGCATAATCTTATTATAATCAGCTGACCTGCCACATTACTATCCTTGACAATGCCTTGCAGATGAGCCAGCGTCTCCTGTACCTCCTGTGGCACTGCCCTTTGGGCGTCAGTGCCCAGCGACTCTCCTCTTTCGTAGTGGAGAGCGACGACCTGCCGGGCTGTGCTTCTGAGGAACCCACTGGAGATGTTTTCCTGTCTCCTCACGTGCAGATCTCCGCCCTCAATAACAATTGCCTCTTCTCAATGGTGCAGCTGCCAGCTCTGCACGGCCCCGGAGTTGCTGGGTTCGTCACTCCGTCAACTGAGGTTTGCCTAATGCGCTCGAGAATTGAAAATATTCTATCTACTTGTATAGTCAATGCCTGTTGAAATATTGATGCAAATGCATGAATAACATAATTACAAAATTTTCTCTGACTCAATTTAGCGCATTTATTTTGCGAAAATATGGATGCTGCAACTTGTATTATGTGTTAAATCTCTTCTAGTGTTATGTGAATCTTTTTGCTTGTTAGCTATTAGAGAGACTTTGAATTGCAGTCCCCCTACCTTCTTTTGTCGTGCCATCTTGCCCGTGTCATTAGGATGAGGGAGAGGGGCATGCATGTCTCAATGACCCCAAAACCTACGATTCTATAAGATTTAATTATAAAGAATGTCGCAAGTGAAGTGTTTATATAGAAAATTCCACTAACGGTGACGACCAGGCTATTAAAAGGACATGCAAGAACCTGCCATTTGGCTGTTGATCTTTAACGGGGGCCGCAACATAGCCGGCACATTAAGCTACCACAAAATGGCTAGAGTTAGCCTGTGAACTCATGAGTACGAGGAGGGGCTAATTCAGTGACTCGCATTTGCAAAGTCAGGCTAAGCATCAGTTTGTTGCGGCCAGAAGAACTGTGGCAACTACGCTTAGGTACGATTGATAACGTCAGGAATGTATCTGCCTGATGTCTAGGATCTTCTATTTGGAGGCAGATGAGAGGTTCCAGCTTACTAATGAAGAGTTCCGGGCGAATTAATTATCTAACATGATGCCTGCAATGGTCGCTATGAGGCTCCCCTCGATGCATTATTTCATGCCATTCATGTCAAATTGTCCAGTCCCAGCATGGTCTGATCCCCCGACGATAGTTAGCCATGGATGATGTACTGCAGAATGGAAAAAATTCAGAGTATATTTCCACTCCTCAAAACGATGTTTGATTCGACAAATAGCGTTTAGATTAGCATATAGTCGCAAGGTCTGTTACTACCAGATAAACTCGATGATGGCTCGACGTAATTGAAGATAGTTACCAGCTCTTGGCAGCAGTTCAATTTTCTTGACGAGGTGTCAAATTTCCACAACTATTGCTGCGGCTTGCTATCTAACTAATTGAATTTATGCTGACAATTCAACGAGTCAATTTGTAACTCCTTTACAATATATTAATTCAACTAGATAACCCACTATCATTAATGAAGTAGTTGCGCTGCAAGTGAACCCGTCTGCGCGCAGGTATGACTTATCATGCGCGATCTCTCGGGCAAGTTCTCGTGGGACGCGTCGATGTTGTGCGCCGTCCTCCGATGCGCTGGATGGCTGCAACAGCTCCAGCCTGCCGTCCCTGGACGACAGCTGCAACAGCTCCAGCCTGCCGTCCCTGGACGACAGCTGCAACAGCTCCAGCCTGCCGTCCCTGGACGACAGCTGCAACAGCTCCAGCCTGCCGTCCCTGGACGACAGCTGCAACAGCTCCAGCCTGCCGTCCCTGGACGACAGCTGTCATTGCTCGGTCCTGCCGTCCCTGGACGACAGCTGTCATTGCTCCGTCCTGCCGTCCCTGGATGACAGCTGCAACAGCTCCAGCCTGCCGTCCCTGGACGACAGCTGTCATTGCTCCGTCCTGCCGTCCCTGGACGACAGCTGCGTTATGTCTGTATCACGGTAACTTCTGTCTGGCGAGAGGTTATGTCTGCATCATGGTGATGTCTATGACTGGTGTGAGGGTCTGCATCGCTACATATATAACCTCTCTTTAATGCTAATATCAAGTCAATAATAGCTGCTAATATCATGACATAACCCTGCATCGCGGTTTATCTTGATGTTAGCAGCTATTATTGACTGATATTAGCAGCTATTATTGGCAGGTCGCCTGTCTGGTGCGACGCAGGCCTGGTGCCACGCAGGCTGGAGGCGCAGGTCGCCTGCCTGGTGTGACGCAGGCTGTAGCACAGGTCACCTGTCTGGTGCGACGCAGGCTAGGGGCGCAGGTCGCCAGTCTGGTGCGACGCAGGCTGGGGGCGCAGGTCGCCTGCCTGGTGCGACGCAGGCTGGGGGCGCAGGTCGCCTGTCTGGTGCGACGCAGGCTGGGGGC